TTGGGCTGCTGCAGTTGAGGCCTTATTCAGAGAGGTGTAAATGCAAAACTGTGGCATCGCCGGTTTCCCAAACCACCCTTTCATCTCATCGCCATCAACAAACAGCTTCAAGCAATGGCAGGTTCAATAAAAGATGGCTACTTCAACTGAGACGGCTCGTGCAATAAGCCATGCAGACTGAATCAATGCAGCGCCTTCTAGCTATCCAGGCAATATCAAAATGACACTATACTTCAGTTAGGCAAAAGTTGATGCTGCTTAGGCAAAACATTATGCCATGACTTTTTGTATTTGTTGGGCTTTGTTTTTGTTTATTTTGCCTTTGCTTGGTGTTGGTCATCTTGCGGTCATGCCATAAACCAAAAAAACAAGACCCATGACCTCTTGTATCTGTTGGAGTTACTTTTCTGTTTTTTGCTTGTGTGTTTCCTTTGTGTTTTCCACTGTGTGCAACCCCCCTCTGTGCAACAACCCAAGATACGTTTCTCTGCAAGCAGGACAAAGTTCTCATTAAATTCCAGCTAGACTCGTAATTATTTGGAAAGGACATCCTATTTAGGATTGGACGGAATTCCTGTCTAAGATTTCCTTCCCAAACCAAACTATAACTAAATCTCAATTGGACTCATATTTGAATAGAGTCCTATGTAGCATCCAAATCGAATTCAAGGTTCTCATTAATTTCTAATGGACACTCTACTTGGAATGACAGTGCTAATTAGAATATATTTCTGAACCGTGAATTGAATTCTAGTCTAAATCCCAAAAGAAATGTAAACCCTCGTAATGTAGAACTTGCAAACCAATTGCAATGGAATCCACATTTTCCATGTTTTTTTACTGTACTCTTTTTTCAAGGGGCTTGCAAATTAGAAGCAACAACAAGCTTCTCTTTCCTTGTAGAGTCTATTTAAAACTCAATTAAAGTCCTACTTGGAACGGAACACTTTTTTAAACTCTAATTCAACGTATTTTTTCCCAAACAGTTTACCGTTCTAAAAAGAACGGGCAGCATGCTGCCAGATCGGCGATCCGGATGTCGCTGTCAATTTCGTGATTCGGGATTTAATCACATTTCGGGATTAAATCACATTTTCGGGATTCGGGATTCGGGATTCGGGACTCGAATCACATTTTCGGGATTCGGGGTTCGGCATTCGGGATTCGGGACTCGAATCAGATTTTTTGGGATCGGGATTTGGGATTTGGGATTTGGGATTTGGGATTTGGGACTCGAATCACATTTTCGGGATTTTGGATTCGGGAGTCGGGATTCGGGACTCATCGCATTTTCGGGATTCGGAATTCGGGGTTCGGCATTCGGGATTCGGGGCTCGAATCACATTTTCGGGATTTAGGATTCGGGATTCGGGACTCGAATCACATTTTCGGGATTCGGGGTTCGGCATTCGGGATTCGGGACTCGAATCAGATTTTTTGGGATCGGGATTTGGGATTTGGGATTTGGGATTTGGGATTTGGGACTCGAATCACATTTTCGGGATTTTGGATTCGGGAGTCGGGATTCGGGACTCATCGCATTTTCGGGATTCGGAATTCGGGGTTCGGCATTCGGGATTCGGGGCTCGAATCACATTTTCGGGATTTAGGATTCGGGATTCGGGACTCGAATCACATTTTCGGGATTCGGGGTTCGGCATTCGGGATTCGGGACTCGAATCAGATTTTTTGGGATCGGGATTTGGGATTTGGGATTTGGGACTCGAATCACATTTTCGGGATTTTGGATTCGGGATTCGGGATTCGGGACTCATCGCATTTGCGGGATTCGGAATTCGGGGTTCGACATTCGGGATTCGGGGCTCGAATCACATTTTTGGGATTTAGGATTCGGGATTCGGGACTCGAATCACATTTTCGTTCAGGATTCGGGATTCAGGATTCGGGACTGGGAAAGCCCCATCGATTCGGGATTCGAGATTCGGGATTCGCGCGCGAATCACATTCTGCACCAGCTTCTCCGGATCATGTCTCGCCGAGCCGCATGCCCGTAAGCGTGCGCATTTACTTGTCTCCCAGTATGCGCCTTCATTTGTCTCCCAGTGCTGCCAGATCGCCGGGCCGCATACTCGCCAGTGTGCGCATTTGCTTGTCTCCCAGCACGTGCCTTCATTTGTCTCTCCGTGCTGCCAGATCGCCGGGCCTCATGCTTGCCAGTGTGATGTTTCTCGTGGGTGCATAAGCGTGTTCACCGTCGGCGCATAAAACAGTTTCACTGTTGGCGCATAAGCGTGCTCGCAAGAGTGTTCCTTGCTGGCGCACAAGTGTGTTCACTGTCGGCGCAAAAGTGTTCCTCGTTGACGCATCAGCGCGTTCGCCGTCGGCGCATGTCGGCGCGTAAGTGTGTTCACTGTGGGCGCGCGCGCAAGTGTTCCTTGCTGGTGCACAAGCGTGTCCACCGTCGGGTTCCCCGTTGGCGCGCGAGAGTGCTCCTCGCACAATCTGTTTGGGGTCTACTCTGGAGCAACTTGTAGTTGAAATTAAAGTTAGTATGGTTTCAAGTTAAAGCGTTACAATCTAAAGCTTGTAAACCAAAAAAGCTAAAATTGCATCTTCCTTGAGTTTCTACTAATTTGCAAATTAAAAGAAACGACCAGCTTGTCTTTTCCATAAAGGCTTCTGTTCGATCTCTAATTCAATTTTAAAGCCAAGAAGTGTAACAGGAATAAAAAGAAAGATGCTAACAGAACTGTACAGCAGCAGGCATCCAACTACTGTATAAAGGCTCTGGGTTCTGCTTGAAACGTAACCATTTGTCACATTTAACTGTTTTCATGCAGCGGATGCGTTTCAAAACAGTACGTTGCTTCTCCTCTATCTATTGCATTTGCTCAAATTCACTCTCTGTTGTCACCACAAATGCCGGTTTGTGTTTGAAGAAACGTGTGGGGGACAGCACATCGCTTTGTTCCGACGGCAAAGCACATAGCTTGGTTTCGATGGCAAGCAAGTGCAACCCTGCCAGGTCAGGCCCGCAGGGAGGGGCGTTTCACCTCAGCGTCGGCCGTGGCATTGGGGCCCAGGGGCCGAGTCCGGAGGCCTGGGCCTTCAACATGTGGATAGGTTCCGTGTGCCCTCAAGAATTTGAGCTCAGAACTAGCAAAAGTCAGTGAAAGAGTCTTGCTAGCCTTGGCCTCGCATCTCCAATTTGTTCATTCGATGCTTGTGCACACCTGGCTGCTTCTTCTTTTTCAATGTGAAGAGTCCCACTTCCTTTGTAACTTTTTGGGAGCCTTTGGGGCGTGACCTGCGGACGCTGAGCCGGCGCCCCGAGCCGCGCGGTGCTCTGGGGAGTGGCGCCCTCGCTGAGCTGGGACCCCGGCAAAGAGCAGACCTGTTTGCAGCCTTGTTGCCCCCACATTGACACACAACTTAACAAAAAGTCACCCAACTCCGGTGTCAATCTGCAGAGGAGTATTTTCTTGGGAAAGGGATGGAAGGAAAGTGTTGGTTTGTTGGCGGGCCAAAGTGCATGTTTTCATGCTGGCATGTACCTCGTGGATTCAAGCCCAAACTTGCCATTGCGCGCACCAAGCACCCACCCCCCAGTCCTAGGTAACTTCTCACCCCAACTCGCAGGGCGCAGAGGGGGCGTGATGGCGTGACATTGCGCCTGGCCTGGGTTGCTGCGTCGAGTTCGATCATCTCGACGGGGACGGCTGGCCAACTCTTACCCCCAAACAAAAGCCTCATGGGGACCTTGGTTGGCCGAGCGTCCCTGTTATTGCCTATCCGCGTCAAGAAAGAGCGCCGTCAGACAGGCAGCAGCTACTACTTGCGGGGTACTGGTCCCCACGAATGTTTCCTTTGATGGCTTATATTGCATTGGTATAGCGTCGGGGACGGTGCAACTAGGTGGGGTCAAGTGTGGGGAGGGGGTCATGCAACACAGCGAAGGCAGATCACGGCAAACCTCGGCTGGAACAATATGTCTCAGCCTTGGTTTCCGCCATTTTGACCCGTTCATTCCAGACTGGAATTTGGGTCAAGACAGTAGGGGAGGAGCCGACTTCCAGGTGTGCAACAATGAACAGACTGATCCTTGGACAGTTTGGCGTGCTTCTGGCAGGAACTTGCCACATGCCAGCAGGAAGCCGAACCCAGTGTTGACCTTGGCAAGTGCTTGCGCAGCACAAGCAAGTGCAAGCCAATGATGCATTCCCAGAAATTCAACAACCTTGCCTGGTGCATGACATGTTGCGATGCAATAGTGCAGCTGACGAAGAGCGTGGTCTCTTTGGGCAAGCAGAATGCATGGCAACAGGCAACTTGGCAGATTTGCAACAGCTGCAGGCCAAAATTAGGGCATTTACACAGATTGGTTGATTGCAGAATTGTCATAGTAGCCTCAGCCCATGATTGGAAGGAGGATCCGACAAGTGTTCACCATGTTCCTTTAGCATTGTTTGGACACAGGCACGGCAATTTGTTGCATGTCTTTTGTCCCAGAGTCTCCCAGTTATCGGATGGCGTGAAGATCCGTGCGGGCGAAATCAAGCGGCATGGCTTCTGAGCGAATGGATGAGCCGTTCGTCTGCTCCATGCCAGGCACTTGGAGCTTTCGCAGAGGCAGAGGATGCAGGCGATGCGGATCATGCGACTTTCAACTCGACAGAGTTGCATGTTGCGCATCCAGGATGATGGCACTCGGACACTTGACTTCCTTCTGGTGGAAGTTTGCTGCAGCAAGTTCGTCCTTGTTTCTTCAACGGTTTCATAGGCTCATGGCTCAAGGGTCAAGGTGAAACCGTGAACGGTCCAAGAGCCCAGGCGAGGGGAAGGCGCAAGGTGAAGGCTTAAGCGTTCGGAGAGCACCCTTCACTGGTACTAGATGCAGGTAAGGTAACGTTAAACCATGGCAACGTGGTTTTGTTGTTCATTTTTCACTTGGAATAGTTGCGGAATCAATCGCATCAGAGCAGAAACTGCCTTGCCTCGGAATATGTTGAATGATGGATTCCAACATGTGTTCCTCTCCCATGGGGGTGTGGACTCGCCACATCTTCCTCCCCAATGTGTCCGCATCACCTCGGAAATGCCGAACGCTCCTTCGAGAGGTGAGTGTTTCTGCCAACATTTTGCAAGGAGCCAGCTCAGTCTTTTCCAACACCGCAATAACAGAAAGTTATTTTTGTATAGCCATTGCAGGGTAGGCCTCAAACATGATCCAGGAGCGCCGTTTTGTCGTGTCCTCCATGTGGTGGTTGAGTACAAGTCCCTTTTGTGCTGTTTGGCCCCCTTCCAGATATTCTCCAACATGCCCTCACCCACTCTCCTTAAACTTCCAGAGACATGGTCGCGGATCAGTGTTGCAGGTTTGGACGTCTTCTTCTGCAGCGCCCTGGTGACCTGCTGCGCCAGGGCCGCTGCTTGGCCCGGCAGTCTGCAGCTGCTGGCGGACACGCGACATCACCGCGTGGAGCCCTTCGGCGATGGGAGGAAAACCAGTGGTACCACACGGAAAGGACGGTGGCCACACAGGTCCAATTTCAGCATCACCTTTGGGGCACAAGAAAGGGACGCTATACAGGCCCTGGTTTTCCACAGCAGAAAAAAAAAAGCACAGACAAATCATGATAATATGTAATTCTTGCCTGTTTGGAACAAAGAATCCTGTCTGAAAATGCTCTCCTTTCATCTGATCTGTCATTTTGCGCACAGAAGCTGACTAAAACAAAGAGTGGCTTGGATTGCTCATGCTGCCCCACCCCCTGTAAGAGGGAAGATCATGTATTATATAGTTTGGAGCCCTGTGAGCTATGTATTTGAGTTGCAAGCTCAGTTTGCCAATATAAATTCCCATGATATAAGTTGCATGATTTAAGTTGCAATGATTTAAGTTGCAAGCTCAGTTTGCCAATTCAAATACCCATCATCTAAGTTGCACGCGCAGTTTGCCAATTTAGATGCCCATGATTTAAGTTGCAAGCTCATTTCGCAAATTTAAATTGATCCCGTTTCCAATTTAGATAAGTTAGCTAATTAAGCGATTTTAATGTTTCAAATTAAGAACATTGGCAGACCCTCCTGTTCCAATTTAAATGATCTATATATTCTACATAGTTTAACTAACTTATACCATTTGAAGCATACAGACTGTACGGCTTGCCCCGTTTAAAACATTTAAGTCTTTTAAATCGACAAATCCCCCTTTTCCAATTAATCACTTACGACCCACCTTTTCCAATTTTCATAAAATTGAAATAATTAAGCCGTTTAAATATCATACATAAGGTACGGCTGGCCCATTTAAATGGTTAGAGTAATTTCAATAATTTGAATAGTTTAAAATATAGTCATTTAAATTATTTAAATTTGCAGATCCCCCTTTTCCAATTTAAATGATTCAAAACATTTGAATCACACACACAAGGCTCCATTTAAATATATTAAACCATTTCAATAATGTAAACAATTTGCATCGTGTAGATTGGTTCCACTCTTTCAATTGGCAGACCTCCCCCTTTTTCTAATGTAAATGGTTTACATAATTTAAATCCTTTAAATTATTTGAATTAGCTAAATTGGCAGCCCCCCTTTTCCAACTTAAATCGCTCAAATAATTTAATTCGTTTGAATCACACATAAGGTACGACTGCCCCATTTAGATAATGTACATAGTTTATGTCGTTCAAATTCCTTATTATTTAAATTGGCAGCCCCCCTTTTCCAAATTAAAATAATTCACGGAATTGAAATAATTTGAATTATTCAGATTATATAAATTGGCAGAGACCCCCCTTGTATGATGACGAGCTGCTTCCAGCACGACAAGTGCTACGAACGCAGCTGGAGGATTGCTGTTTGCGCAGTCCACATGCTCTCCCGATACACTGTCCGTCTTTACATGGTTGAGCGAGTGCAAAAGCTCTATATGCAGACTGGGGAAATTTGCCGGTGTTCAAATGCGGTCAGGCAGCGCAGGCCTGAGCAAAAAGGGGGGTCAATGTCGTACGCCTGTTCATCGGGCACTCCAGCGGCGGTGTCGGCCAGCGGCTTTATTCGACGAACCTGCAGGCCATGTACGCGCATAATTTTGCTTTCTTTGATCCCAACATCTGGTTTCATGATGAGGAGATGAGAGAGCAGGTGGAGCAAGCAAACTGACGTGGCAAGAGACATCCGCCGCAGGAAGGAAGCTGAGGGAGGACCTCTACAAGAAGTTTGACAGCGGAGATGGCGTTGCAGGTAGAAGCCCCGCGGCTCTAAAACCCAGATGATCAATTGTGTCGGTTAGAGGCCAAACGCACGTTCCCCTTCGCAGACCTTGGCAGGAAGGACTTCAACGCCATCCTCCGCATCAGATCGCTGTTGTGGCGGGCGAAGGCCAGATTTGACGACCCAGGCGCTTGCGGCCACTATTCTCCGGGACGGTGTCGCCCCGGTCTGGCTGAAATTAGGGCTGACTGGGCTTGCTAGAAAAGCACATTCCATCTTCCTCGATGGACAGAAGTAGAATACAAATGCTACAAATGCAAAGCAGGCATGGATGACTTCATGGCCATTGAGGCGCAGAGTTCTCCGAATATGAGCTGGAACGCCAACTTTCGCAGCGCGAAAAACAACAATAAGCACTTTGTTTCAGAGCCCTGGGCTGGGCTGACTGGTCAGTGCTTCATTGTGGACTGGCTCCACACATTTGAGGGCTGGCTGCAGCCACGTGGCTTTGATGTTTTGAACAGTTTGTTTTTGTTTTGTTTAATTTGGTTTCTGCTAACGCAGTGCCTGTGTGCTGAGGACTATCTTTGCAACTGCATGCCCCTCATCCTGCAACAGCTGAGTGGCAATGACCATCAAAAGCTATGGTAACTTTGTGAACGCATTCCCAAATTTTACAAGGCCAATGGCGCCCCTTCCAAGTTGAGTAACCTGACCACGACCATGATCAGGAAAACGCAACTATCAGCCCAAAGCTCAAGGCAAAGGCTGGGAAGCTAGGTGTTTAGTTTTCTGGTGCCACCAGGCCTGTTTGCGCTTTTTGAGCCAAGCTGACACGCAGCAAAGCACATGCGCGTTTGAATGGTTTTTTCGCCTGTCTATAGAGTCATTTGATGGCCAGAAGTTTCATGCCAGTGGAATGACATTCCTCAGGCTGTACCTGGCTCTGGAAGAAATGGTAGAAACCAACACATCATTTGCTTGTCCACTTTCTGCCCTTCAAAGCGCTGGACTTGTAGGGGTGAGTCTTATGGAGGCGCCATGAGCCACACAGATTCTTGCAAAGGTGGAAGCGATTGGCCTAGTTATACCAGCCAAGCAGCTCCCAATTCTTTAATGCATTGAAGACTAGGCTCACAATGACGAGGCAAGAAAAACGTGTGCCGTTTCCATGCATGCGTGAGATCATGCTTGGCAAATTAATGATGAATGCGCTGACTCTCTAACAAGCGCATTTACAAACACTGTTTAAATACAATGCAATGCGCGGAGAGATTCGGCCATATTTAACAGTTATAGTTCTTAAATTATTCGGCCTTAGTAAAGAAAATACAGGTTAATAATTCGGCCTTAAGTTAATTCAGAATAATTAGGCTCACTAAGGCACACATAAGGTTGGTGAGCGCTGGAATGGGATGCTCAGCGAGTCATGATCTCTCATAGTCTTCTTGGGTCCACTCAACGCTCACTCAGGGCCAGTTGAGTTGAGGGATATTTTTACAGGTTCTTGTGAGGTTGTCGTCGGGCGGGCTGTGGTTGTGCCATCTTGGCGACATAAGATGCAGCCCATGTCATTCTGGTCATCTTCAGACCAAGAGCGTAGGACTTGGCTGTTGTCTAGACAGTGTTGGGCAGGGCCAAACGTGCATGATGCACCACCCGCATGCTGCACTTTGAAGTACTGCTGACCAACTGGGGCCTGCGTTTGGGAGCCCATCTTTCGTGTAGTCCGGCTTGATACTCTTTCATGGTTGACAAGCATGTCTGTGAGTTATGCACAGGGAAGTTGACAAACGTTTTCGTGAGTTATGCACAGGATATGTCCATGGCTGTATTTGGCCACTTGGTAGGAAAACATGAAGTGTGTCACCAACAGAACCGAGGCAAAGCAGCAGATAGCATTGAACCCCAAAATAGCTTGTGTTCTTGTTGCAAGTCGAAGGCAAACCTGTCAAGACACAAAAAATTGCCAAACCTGAGTCAGTGTCCGGATGCTCCAAGCTGGACCATGTGAAAAACTACATGCAGGCAACACTGGCCCGAAATGCGAAACAGCAACGAACATCTGGACACCCGCTTCTACATGGGAGTGTGTGACATTGTCTCACACCCACTCGTCAAATTGCATGTCCCCATTGACTGTTGGTCCTTCGTGAACAATACTCTTGGCGATCCACAACACCCACAAACGAGATTCACGTGGAATGTTTGAAGTCCAGTATTTCTGTTTGTTCACCCCGCTTGGGAACAGCATGACTTGCAAGCCTCCTTCTTGAAATATGCCGGGTTGTGCAAGCATTTCGACATATGGAGATTTGACTCATTGAACGATCTTCATAATGTTCGTGTGGGTTGTTTCAAAGTAGGGGAACCCGCCAAACAATTGCTACTGTCCCCTTGGTTCCCTTTAAAACACCAACCAAAAGGGGACTCCCCATTGAAGGACACACCCACTTGTTTGGATGATGTACTCCTCTGTCAGTTTAACACTGCGCCCAAAAAGGCCCCAACAAGAGGACTCCTCTACAAACGGGTGTCTTTTTGAGGGATTCTATTTGTCAACCTGGTGGATCCGTGGGGGGTAGGCCCAATGCTGCGACCTTCAGCAGCGCAGTAAACGCTTGCGGCGGCCGCTGGGAGCAGGGCCTAGGCAGAATCGAGCCATGTCCTCACTGGCAGTCGGACACTGGGACTCACAAGGGTTGCTTCCGTCGAAGGGTGCAATTCTCAAGATCCTCTCTGTGAAGCCAATGATGGTCCCCCGCACAACACTTAATGATGCTCGTGAAAGCATCTAAAGCACATCTAGACGGCACGCCTTTTGCACATCAGGGCTTGGCACATAGTTTCTTGTAGCAAGAACTTGTACAAGGGAAGCTCAGCGCTTGTTTCGCCGTGGCATCCCCCCAAAGCGTAGCCAACTGAATCGGCCTGCAGGCGCCTTGCGGCATGCATCTCTGCTGCAGCTGCAGCTGAATACGATCTGCCTGGGCGCAGCGTGCGCGCACCAGAGCTGCAAACAGGCTGGATGTCATCACCTACTCACCTTTCAGCGCCTTCCAAGCTGGAGTTTGCAACAAGCCTGGATCAATGCCCTCCAAAAGGTTGCTTTTCCAGTACACTGCGGATGGCTCTGCATTGGGGTTAACTCAAGATGCCTTTCTTCCAGCGCATTCTGAAGAAATGGTTGCAATTCTGCCCGCGTAAAGCCGACTTGATCGCTTCAGACCGGAGCCGAGGCTCGACCTGGGCTGGCCCAAAGCGGCCACGCTGCTGGCCGAGCTCTGCGAAGGCGCTTTGGAAGTCTCGGCGACCGCCTGCAACTCCGCGGAGCCTATGCCGAAGGGGCACGACGGGTTTCTCAGGGAATCCCTTAGATTGAGGGAGAAATTGGTTTAAGCTTTAAAGGAACAGCACAAGGAGGTTAGTGGTTACTCAGTTACGCATGTTTAGAATGGGGCTGGGTTCTTGAAGAGTTGGGCGGGCTGCTTTGCTGAGTGGATTTCAAAGCACAACGCGGCAGCACGTCTTGGTTTGTTGATGGAGGGTTTAAGGGGACAGAGGCCGCCCCTACTTTGGGAACCGGGGTGGATGCACACTTGTTGAACAGTTGGGGGGTTCAAGAGGTGAGCCGGACAACTCCTCTGATTATGTCAGTAAGAAAAACTTCCGGCCGCTTTCCGTGAGTGCTGGAGTCAGAGTATCGTCAAGCAATGAAATTTGGAGGGTCGCAGGAACTTGGGGTGGAAGTCAGGCACAATTGATTTGTTTGGAAGACTGTCGTGACGCTCGAAGAAGAAGGCAAAAATACCCTTCAGAAGGCGTCTGCGTGTGAGTGTGTATGTGTGTGTGCCTGGATGACACAGAGCTGGGCTGAAGAGTAAAGGGTACTTGGGATTAGGCGGACTAAGGTACGATCAATGGTTCAAAAGCCAGCACCTTTTTAATGGAGGGTGCAGGATCAGGAAGAGCAGGAGGGCAGAATATTTGCAAGGGCTAGACACTTTTAAGCAAAGTTGCATTGATGCTATGTGGCACAATAATGGCATCAGTGAGTCAGTGAAGACACCCTTGTGGGGAGTGCAGGGAGCCAATGGCGTTGGAGGAACCTTTTGACAGGTTCGAGGACCCAGAAACCGATGAGAAGTACAGAGTAGATCACAAGCTACTTGGAAGATTTCAATTTGTGCAACCATTGAGCAAGCGCAGAGTAAGCCTAGCCTCGAATCGAGCACTCAGGGTCAGCTCATTAATTTTGACATTATCTTCATTTGGAGATGGACATTGCAGCACTGGGTGACGTTGATGGTGTTTGTTGCCCAAGGTCAGCTCTTGCACAAGAGGCGCGCGATGTGGGCCAAGGATTCTTTGCTTGCTCGTTATCCTTTTGATTTGAGATGTGCAATGAAGGGCCTTGGATTGGGGCAGCGTGAGCCGCAGCTTCCTTGGGTGAGATGCGAGGTGGAAGTGCCTTGACAGCCATGTGTCAGATTTTCCCAATGGCGTCAGGCCGGCGACGTCGGGCTCTTCGCGAAATGCGAGGATTCTTCTGTTTTTGAGGTTCCCAAAGTTTCACGCAGCCAACGTCGTTGACTTGGAGCATGGCGATTTCCATGGGGCTCCAGGAAGCGCTTTAGAGACAGCAGCACCTGTGTCAGGTACTTCTTGGTGGCAGGGGCTGCAGGTGGCCTTTGGTATGTTGGAGAGGCCTTTTGGGAAGACAAGCCAGAAGTTTTAGGAGGTTCTTTTTCCTTTTTTTCCCGAATGCGTAGGGCTCTCGCTGTAGAAGGGGTCTATGGTCAGCATGTGTTTGCCAGATGTGTCGGTGTGCTGCAAGCGCCCGCAAGCGTTTGCAAGCGTTGCAAGTTGGGAAGGCTCAGCAGGTGTGCGAAAATCGTAGCTTTTGAGACTTTGCGTTTCGTTTTGCTGCGCAGGCGCAGTGTTTTGGAGGATGCCATATTTACGTCGACGTGCAGTTGCGATTTGTGCTTTGAGGTGTCTTGCTTGGAGTGGGTGCAAGAGTTTGCTTGCGTATAATTTTGGTTGGCCCTGTCGCGCAGTCGGCTTTGGGTGACGTGTTGAGCGTTGCCTTTGGGGATGCCTTTAGGGATGCGGTGAGGGCTTTCCTTTGCGGCTGTTTTGGGTGATGTCTTTAAACATGGAATTGGGGACGGTGTCTTTTGTGGGGCGGGGGATAATTGGATGATGTCTTTCTGGTTGTCTGGAGTGATGTCTTTGGGATGACTGCGGGGATGTCTCTTTCGGAGTGTCTGTGTCTTGAGTGGTGTCTTCGGGGATGACTTTGTGGATGTTTGGAAGGTGTCTCGGGGGGATGTCTCTGGGGGTGTTGTTTTTGGGAGTGTTTTGTTTGGCATGTCTTTGCGGCTGTCTTGGGTGGGCATTGTCGATGGGGATGTCGTTTGCGGCATCTAAGAATCTAAGTCTGGAAAATGTCGGTTGGCGGTTTCTCCGGAGGCATTTCTCTGCAGGATGTCCTGTAGTGTGTCTTTAAGGTGCGCCTTTGGAGATTTGTCTGGGACTTGTCTTTCAACATATTTCTTGGAACGTGTTGGGGGGTGTCTTGGGAGATGTCTTTGGGGATGAGTTTGGGGTTATTTTTTGGGAGCGTTTGCGTCTTTGGCTGTGCTTTTGGACATGGATTTGCTCTGTTTGCGGGGGCTTCTTTGGGGATGTTATTGGGCATATGTTGAGAAATGCTTTTGCTGGATTGCTTGTGGGTTGCATGTTGTTGGGGATGTCTTTTGGAGTTTCTTGCACATGTTGCCATTCGGGTTCCTGGCCTCTATCAGAATTTAGCCCTTCCTGTGGGAAGTGATTCATGTTTGGAAAGGCTGAGACCCCATTCTTTCATGTTTCTGGCCAAGTAGGATTTTCCGGGGAGTTCTTTGACTAGCCTCCTGCGGATTGATTCGAAGTTGCGAAAACGGCGGGCCCTGGGTTGTGAGGTTCCATTTCAGGGAGCAACCATGTGAGGCGCCCCTTTTTTCCAGATGCCTCACATTTGGGGCGGGTGTTGTTTTTTGGTGGCGCCTTTTTTTGGATTGGTTTTAAAGGAGTACCCAAGGAGAGCCACCATTTGGGGTCCCTAGAAAAGGCAGACCCATTTCAGCGCAACCGGGATCCCATCGGAAGGCATCTGCGGCCCAGCCGGGTGACCTTCAATGCGGGCATCAGCGCCTGCGACGCAGGCGCACGGCCGGGAACATCTGAAACGTGGCTCGGGGGCACCACCGAATTCTGATGTCCAAAGGGATCCCGAATTAAGATTCGTAGCCACATGGTACATCTTATGAATTTTCTCCGAGCTGATGTCACCAAAGGGTCCCGAATTAGGATTCGTACTGTGCCCATTGTATTCTGTGAGTCTTGGGGGGGTTGCATGAGAGTTGACCTCAGGTATGGTTCTGATGGAGGCTGCAGTTTGGGGTGCTATGATGGACACCCTGGTTGTAGAAGCGAAGCACAACAGGAAGGTCTCAGCGTGGAGCAAATTCGAACTGCATTGTTGCAGTGCTGGAATTGCGCAGGCTGCAGACATTGATATGAGCAGAGCCCAAAACCTCATGTTTGCAGGTTGGCCGATTACTTGGTTCTGTCGGCTTCATAAACCTTGATGGTCATGCTGACAGAACCCAAGAGGCATTGGCTCCCTGCCCAAGTTGCTTTAGTCGAACGCCAGGCCATGATGGACTCATGGGCCTCAAACTGCTGAGAGCCATGGATGGCTCGCACTTGCAGCCGGACATCGTGAGCTACAACGCTGCCAATGCCTTGGATTGCGTCTCTGGATGCCTTCCTCTGCTTCCGGGTGTTACATCAAGCTTGTTCTGTAATGAGAATAGTTTGATCCCCTTTTGCAGTTGGACGATATGTGCAGCTTGCTTTGTTTGCGTTGCCTTGGGCTGTGTGGGTTACGAGACGCAAGAATTCATAAGTTCGACCATCCAATCGTTTCAGAGTATCAACACATACAGTGGGCGGATCGGTGACAGATTTACTGCCAAGGCCGTGTCAGCCTGCGGTAAGAGCAGCGGCTTTGCCTGAATGAAGGGAGGCTGGATGGCGTCAATTTCTTCACTGAGGTGTTTGGTTGGCATGGCGGATGACATGGCAAACCCTGTCAAAAGCCAAGGGGAAGTCCGGCTGTGAACAGTGGCTGCAATGTCTGAGGCTGCGTCGCAGTTGCACATGGCCACCGCTGGATTTCATGAGACAGCTGAGGCTTGTGGGGCTCGGCGCTTGAATTGCTTCAGGAGGCCAGGGGTGGGGTTGGCATGGTGACGGCGAATCCCATCTCTGTGTTTTGTGCAATGTCGAGTGGCCCTTCCTTGCAGCAAATGTGACTGAAGCAAATCACTAGGTCACTAGGTGCGAAGTGCTGTGCACTCTTCGACATATTCGTTGGCCTGTTGGATATCCCCGCGACTTATGGTTGATTATTGTTTGGGCATGCCTTCTCACATGCTAAATTCCACCTGTAGGCTACGCCTGACATAAGTATTATGACCTGCCCGCTTGTCTCAGAAGTGCTGACAGTTCTTTCAAAAAGCAAAACCGTCCAACCAGAAAGTCAGAGACTCGCAAGTCAGCGCAGAGTGCCCCTGGCTGAAAATGTTGCAGAGCTTCGTTCTCCCCGGCACCCCCGCACCAGATGCCAGACGTCTTCCAGACCCATAGCGCCTATGTGCAGGCTCCTCGAGGCGCCCTTCGCTTGGATTTAGTGTCCATGGGCGCAGCAGTGGATGCGGCAGCAGAGCGGTGGGCCATGGCAGAGGCGGGGAGCTACGAGGAAGCGGTAAGTTCGATTGGAAGCGGTGCGGTTCGTGTCTGTGGGGATTCCTTCCCTGAGGTTAGTGGTTAGGGGATAGTGCAAGCCATCCTAGAAAGTGTTGCAATCCATGATTTATACGGCTTAGCACTGGTAGCAAGAGGAAGACACTTCAATAGGCTGCCGCTTGAAGCCAGAAGCTTAGAGACGCATGCTTAGTGAATTTCAAGAAGGGCCCTCCTCGTTCAAAACTAATGAGCTCACATAAGCCGGCGACGTCAATCTGTTCTCTCCACATTTCAGTGGGCTCGGTGAAGGCGCACAAGCAGTGACTGAGTGATCCCTCAACGATTCCCCCTGGATCAAAGACAGCCGGCTGATGTATTCAGTGTTTCAAGGAAGGTGATGTGGCCGTTGACATGAATGGCAGAACCGCATCTAATTTCTACTGCATTGCATTGTGCCCTGCATCTTGCGCGCGAGCAGGTGCCATGCCTACCAAGTCTTCCCCAGCTCTTGTCAATGCATCCGATTTGGTTCAGGGAGGACCACTCCACGTGCCTTCTAGCGCACATCTTCATACCAGCTCGACCGACTGTCATACACGTCTTTATTTGAGCAAACCCTAATAATGCAACCTCTGTATCGGCGCAATGTGGACACCTCTCTTTGTTACTTGTGGTCATTTGAATTTTAGTAGCAACACCCGCTGGCACTGTACAGGGCAGCTATGTGGCCAAACCTCTCTGCAAATTATTGTATTACGTAGGACAATAAGACCCTTCGTTGGCACACGCACATCGCATCACCGGGCAAGGGCTGCAAGGATTGTCACAGCTCAAGCGGAAGTCCTTAGGTCCTGCTGGGGCAGCTCCGTCGGGACCTCCAGCCGAACGAGGTGCTGCAGACATCACTACTGAAGGGCGTGGCGTCTCAGCATGGGAAAGGCTTTGTGTTTCCCATTACCAAGACACAGGGATGAAACCACCTGGCTTTATGCTTGGCAGGACATGGTTACATCACATCCAATAAGTCAGGGTTTGGCAAGCGCAACAGCTGTGTTGCATTATTTCTGCGTAAGCCAGCCAGTGGCCAAACATTGAGCTTCTCATGACTGTAGGCGCCCATGAAGATGTTTGCTTTGTATGCAAGCGAGTGCAAACTCGTCTTTGGGCGGTTGGCTTTTTTTGCTGATGAGGACCTACTAATACCAGTCACTCTTTCATCGACGAAGTGCTTGGCCCTTTCAACAGACAAGATGCAACCAATGCAATGGTTTACACTCACCAGACCCACCAGACCCACCAGACCCACCAAACCACACCAGACCCACCGTCATGGCCTTGAGGCCACGCACGGGGGGGCGAGTGGGCCCGCGCGCTGGGGGCGCTGTCCATGCCCAACGAGAAGAGCTTCGGGGCAGCAGCTGCGTGGCTTAATGCGGCATTTTTTGAACGTTGTCTTTGATTGCTTTCTGCTCTTTTTCCTTCTTTTCGGTTCTTTCTTTTCTTTTCTTCTCTTGCTTTTCTTTCTTTTCTTTCTTTTTTCCCCCTTCTTTTCTTGTCTTACTCGTATCTCTTCTTTTCTTGTCTGGTGGTTTCTTTTTCTTTCTTCAACATGAACGTTTCTTTCAGCAAATTAAGGCAGAA